ATATATATATATATATATAATAGTTCAATTTCTCATTCTCCAGTCTACAATATTTGACTTATTCATCATGCCTCATTACAATACTCATCATAATATGAACATATCACCACACTCCAACATTTCAATGTATCATCATATCTCAATATATTGCTCATAACAAAACTCAACACATTGTATAACAATAAAATTCTCACAGATCAATTCCTTTTCATATGTACACCATTATTATTATACATTATCATTGCATATTATAACATTTATCGTTATAACATCATTATCACAATATCAATCATAAAACATCATCATTGAACCTTAAATATCATCACATATCTTAGTATTATCCATTACTATTGATCATTTTAATACCTCAATCTTATTGTAATTCTACCATGGCATCATTAATATTTATACAATAGGATACACCATTTTAAATAATTTCTTACCTATTAATATTTATTAATATCTCAATAGCACTATTCAAACAACATCAACCCCTCTTCATGGTTTCTTATTCAACAAATAGATGTTAAGATAAAATAATTAAAAGAAATAGGCATGATGCCCTATGAGGTTTAATCCACGCCCAACATAGAGAAACTAGAGTAGTCTCTCTACCAACTTCACGCCCTGCATGAGATTTTCACAACATTATTCACCAAGTACTTATCTTAATTCTTACTCTTCGTATATTCTTTAGACTCCTCAATTATCCTTTAAAACATACAAATAATTATTTAAAACACACAAAATAGTTATTTAAAAAGTACAAGATAATCATTTTAAATGTATAAAATAATTAGTTAAATAATTATTCTTTCTTTCTTCCAACATATCACACACATAAAAATACTTTAACTTAGAAATGCATTTGATCTAGATAATCTAATCACATTCAATGAATATCATAGTTACATCAACTCATCACAATCTACTCAAAAACCTCAAAATTCATACATAACCACCCTAACCCTCATAGCACAAAATTTAAATATTAATTTAATCATTAAATAAATAAAAATAAGAACATACAACAACAATATAATTTTAATTAGAAACCATATTCAAGAGATTCCCCTCATCAAACACATAACATATGAGGCTTAGAGTTTGTCTCTCTATACATAGGATTTGATAGTTCCCCTCCCCTTATGTAGAGTGAGGAGTCTTGAGAAGCGATGTCCCTCTGACAACTTCTATCGTCAATTTGCAGTTTCCTCGATGGTCTCCTCTGTTTCTCTTCATGTGTGTTCTAGATTTTCAGAATGAGGTCATAATGACCCAATGCTCACTATTTATTGAAAAAACAAGATGTTACACTAGGATGTATTTCCATGTCAAAAATAAGAAATTGATGTAAAAATAAATATAAGTAGCTTTAAAAGTAACATGAAAAATCACATCTTGATGTTAGGCCAAACAGGCACAAAATCAATTTTATTAATAGCTAAAAAGAACATAAATGTGATTTTGGTCATCTTAAACACTAAAATTATTTTGAACATATTAGACATGGAACAAAGAAATCGTGATTGTTACGATGCATTTTTTTCTAAAATGAATAAGTTTTGATTTTGCCATTTTGGTGAAACATCAACATCAATAAGGTTTTTTGTGTATACTTGTTTTATTAGACTATATAAAATAAATAAAGGATAAAATGATAAATTATTTAGTATTGTTAGTGGTGAATGGTCACAAGTATATCCAATATTATAATAGTCGAGTCGATTTTAATGATTGTTTGATAGTTAATGGTCAATTTAAAAGATCACTTGTTGAATTGATTAGACCAATTTATATTAAAAAATTATAATTAACATAATTTAAGATAAAAATATAAATAAAATGATATATATGTATTATATATTTGTAACATATAACATATGGTAATTGTTTAGTCTAGCCTAATCATAATTGAACTCTTTCTTAATGTGAAAAGATATGATTAAGTCTCAAAACAAGCACATAATAAGATAATACTTTTAGGGTCCAAGAATTAATCTAAATTCTCATAAAAGTTTGATTACGATTAATATCAACTAATCATATTGATTTCTATAAAATATTTGACTATTTACTTAAAAAAGAAACTTTCATTTACACTACAAGAAAAATGCTGATTTCCGACGGAAATTTCTGACGGAAATAGGTAAATTTCCGACGGATTTTTCTTTTTTCGACGGATTTCAATCCGTCGGAAAAAGTGGCGTCGAAAAAAAAAATCCGTTGGAAATATTTTTCCGACAGAAAATTCTGTCGGAAATTTCCGACGGAAAAATCTGTCGGAAATTGCTGTCAAAATTTCTGACTTTTCAAAAAGTTGTAGTCAGGGAGTTTATGAAAGAGAATTTGGTAAGGGCTTGTGCTCTGATACCATGTTGAAGTTTCTGTATGAATGAGAGATTAGAGAAAAACTTTATGAAAGAGAAAATATTATTGTATCAGTAAATTACATCTAAGGTGATAAACGTCTATTTATAAAATCATCTAAATTGTAACTAACTAACAGATTTTAATCTTTTTCTGTTATCCTTAACATGGTGCAACCATACTAACTTTATTATTTATATAACATGCATTTTATTTCGTTTTTCTACTTCTTCCATTCTTCCAACCTATCATAATTGGAAGCATAGAACACTTCTCTAACCAACATATAAAGATCAGGATGCTAAATTAAGTAGTAAAATTAATCGTCACAAATTGAATTTATCTAAGAAAATACTTATTTACTAACATTAAGTAGTGAGGATTAATATTTTTAATTAAGTTGTCCAAAATTCGAATTTTAACTTAAAACATGAAATAAATTATGTAAAAAAAATATTTACTCTATTTATACTCATAATCCTATGAAGATTAATTATTATTTTTAATAATAAATATATCATACTAATATTATGATTGTTTAAAAAAAATCTCTACACTTATCTAAATCTTCCTTGAGCATTTCAATCATCTTGTCCTTCTCATATATTACTTCCAAGAGCCTCGTATTTTCTTCTTTAAGTGCCTCAAATTGGCAAACTATACCCGCAATTTGAGCTTCAATGGCCTCATCACTCAACTCAAAGGCACTCTCCACAACTCTAATGACACGCCACAAGCTCACTACAACCAACAAACCACCCCCTTTCCTCACCACAAAGGCTTCCAAAAACATAGCCCCTATGGCCACAACCCCATCAACAACATACCCCACATGGTGGAAAAACGAAGAGCCTAACCCCACTAGCATAGCCATAGTCTTCACCAAAAGAAAACAAAGAATACCAATTCCAATCCAATGCAAACAATGCTCTAATACGCTGTTCATGTTCTTCTCACACGAAACTAGAGAGGAAGATAGCTCTAGGATTGTGATGATGAGGTCCACAATGAGCAACGAGACTGTGAACATGTGAACCCATGTTGAGTCTAGGAAATTGACCAAATGGGTGCGCCATGGTGCTCTATTATTATTCAAGTCTTGGTGGTTGTGTGTGGTGAATAGAAGCATCCACCTTTGCCTTCTCTTCCATGATTTTATTAAGCTTTGGACAGATGAATCTAATGTTTGCATGGAGAAAGAATTGGTGGGGGCTTGGGTTTGATTGGCTTCTGAGGAAACATGGACGGATTTCAAGGTGTTCATTGGTGAGAAACTAATGCGAGGTGCAGATTTGATGATAGATTTCATGATTTTAATACTAGCTAGAGAATGATGGTTAATTAGCCTTAACGTATTGGAATGTGTGCCACATGCTCGTGAAGTGCAAGTAAGGTTTGAAGATTTTGCAAACTTTAGCTTTGGGGTCACGTTACACGGCCACATTATTTGCAGATAGTTGCTCCTTTTATTGGATTTCCTCACATTTAGCATCAGGACAAAATTATAGATATATATGGTGCTTTTGTCAAATCAAAATTGAAGTTTTATTTGATGCCAATGTGGATATCAAGGTAAAACTCATTTTTAACTAGAAAACAAAACATAAAAAACTCTTATACAACTCTTATATATTAATTCTTTTAAATTTAACTGTATTTTTCCTGACATAATCTATCAAAGGTCATTGACCACAGAATAGTAGGTAAAAGGTCATCAAAAAACTGAAGAATCAAGTCCCTTAAGGCTTAAACCAAAAGTAGAATAAGACATGTTCAATCCGACAAGAAAATAGGCCTATTAAAGACACGGTTCAACTCTTTCTCTATGCTTTGTTTTCATTTTCACTCTCTTTTTATGTATCTGGCACTATGGAAGAAAGTGTGATCTTGTAAAGGTTTTAGTTAACGTCTATTTATAAAATCATCTAAATTGTAACTAACTAACAGATTTTAATCTTTTTCTGTTATCCTGACAAAAAATTCCGTCAGAAAATTCCGTCGGAAATTTCCGACAGAATAATTCTGTCAAAAATTTTCTGGCAGAAATTTTCGACGGAATTTTCCGTCAGAAAGTTTCTATCGGAAATTTCTGACGGATTTATATTTCTGTCAGAAATTTCTGACGGAAAACTTTCGACAGGAAATTCTGTCAGAAATTTCTGACGGAAATATAAATCGTCGGAAATTTACATTTTTCTTGTAGTGTTATTTCTTTCATGACACATCTGAAGTTTCAATTAAATTAACCACAAAAACTTACAAAGAAGTTTATAGAAAATTTATTCAATTAAATTTTATGTTTAATTATAATTTCATCAACTAAGTTAATGAAAGATTTATGAAAACAAGGTATTACCGAGCTCATAAATAAGTCATGATTGAAATTGATGTTTCTATATATTAATATTTTATTTAAGGTTTAATTGTTCTTTTATTCTTTGATGAATTTTATCTCTAAGTTATTTTCTCACGAATTATATTTTTAGATTTTAATGATTTATGTTCTCTCGTCAATTGTTCATCAAAATATTAACAGGGTGTTGGCGTGACGTGTCTAATATGGATAAATTTAATGAAATGACATGATATGTTTGATGAATGCATAATTTCACTTTATGCTACCAAACTTTTTCTTTTTGGAGAATTCCACTCATAAGTAATTTTTCTCACGATTTATTCCCCTTAAACTTTTAGATTTTGATGACTTATTCCTTTTCGTCAAAATGCTAGGTGTTAGTAATTTGTGTCATTATAATGGGCTTGAATATAAAAGAAGAATACCTTAGTGAAACTTGTATGGATAATGTCACCAACTCCAAAATAAAAATCATTTGTAAGTTATTAACATGTAATGTGGCTTGACAAATTGGAGTGTGAAAAATGCAAGTGGCCTAATTTAGTATTAGTGGATTAGTATGTCCACTACAAGGTCCAACTATGGAACCTAATAACTATTGAATTATGGAGAACACAATACATTCTAATACTTTTTTTTTTAACTGTAGAAATACAAGCATGTTAAGTTTACATAAACAATATCCATTTTCATAAATGTGGCAATTGTTGATTAGGTACTTAGGTATATGTTAAACATGTTATTTTTACTCTTGGATTCATGTGAGATATACAAGATCTATACATTAAAAATGATAATTAATTATTACACTAGTTGATTAAATGTTCAAGCATTGAATTGTCACAATTCAGTCACAAAATAAAATCATATGATTTGTATCATTTGAACAATCCATCAATGTTAGATGTAGTTTCATAGTTAGAGATATCATATTTTTATTAGATGGATCTAGTGAGATCAATAGCTTCAACAAAACTTTAGCTTAATCAATCAAACAATACTATAATATAAAGTCATAACTAATTGAATAAATAAAAAACTTACCTAGAAAGTTATTTGGCCTTATTATAAAGGTCACAATTATATTAAGTTAAAACACCATTTTACAAATCATAAGAACAAACGTAATATATTACAACTAACTCTTCCCTATATGTATCTCGAATAATTACCGATAAAAGTTTCATTATGACATTTTTCTTCTGCATTTAGACTAATTATAATGACACAAATGATGAACATTTCATTAGTATTTTGATAAATAATTGATGGAAGGACACTAATCGTCAAAATTTAAAAGTTTGGACATAAAAGCAAAAAAAATTACTTAAGGGTAAAATTTGCCAAAATGTGAAAATTCAAGAGCACAAAGTGCAATTAAGTTTTCATCAAACATGTTATGTCATTAAGTTTATCTATGTCAACACTTTATTAGTATTTTCATGGGAAATTAATAAGAAGGTACAAATTAATCACTAAAATTTTTTGGGAATATACTTCATAAATAAAAAAATTAAGAACAAAATTTGTGAAAAGAACAAAAAAAAAAAAAGAAACATAAAGTACAATCAAGTCTTTATTTAAATATTTATTAAATCCTAATTAACATAGACAATGTCATAAACTTCTACTTCATACATAATTGTAGAGATATGTTATTTCACACAAAGTATTTTATTTTATTTTTGGTTTGCTCCTCTTGCACATCAACCTTATCCTCTATGTGCCTTCCTTCATCAACTTCACTATCACATGAATAAAGTTCCCATTGAACCACCACAAGTGTACCTATGAAGTAGTCCACATAAATATTGATGTTCTTATACCCCTTTACATTTTCCAGGAACATTGTTGGGACCTCAACATCATTGTTAAATAGTTTCAACATCAAACTTTGGATGTTTATAAATGGGATCTTTTTTCCCCCCCTTCATGTATTGAACTTCTATTTATTGGTAGATATCTCATTTATATTTATCGCCATTTTTTTTATTAGATCATTCGTGTTGCCCCGTATAAGTAATTTGATTTCATGAAACTGTGCTGGATTATAAACAAACAAATCCATTCAATATTATATTCCTATATTTCATAACTATTTGAAACAAAATTAGAGGAATAATATATATATATATATATATATATATATAGAGAGAGAGAAAGAGAAAGAGAGA